GGATCGGAAAAGTATTATATTATAGACTTTCCGATTCAGTATCTAGTCAAAATTCTTGAGAATTTTAACAGAGCTATTGTTGAGTTACAGTCGGACTCTTGTACTCTTTTTAAAGTGGTAATTTGGTGTTATGAACTTCTTGAAGTCTGTAATACCTTTCAAAGCGAAAAAGGAGAAATAAAATTGATATTACTTAATATAAAGCATTTTTTAATTGAAAAATTTGTTTTACACAAGTATCATTTTATTTCTCTTTTTCTCTGTCCCAAATTCAAGCAATTACGTATGTTGTCAGGGACAGATCGCAAGATAACGGAAAACTATATAAAAGATTATTTTAAAATTACAAGCCAACATTTTTCATTATTTTTTTTTACAATATTATATAATACAATTATCTTCTTTTGTTAAAAATTTATATTATAAAATAAATTATATTAATATTGTGCAATTAAATTATATTTTCAAAATACTATTTATTATACATGCATTTTTTTAAATAGCGATTTAATTTTATTTTATAAATTAAATAGTAAATTAAATACAATATATTATATTCTCAAAATATTTTACATTTTTATAAATTAAATATTAGTTTTATTTTTTTTAAATGCAATATAAAATATAGTATATGCTCAAAATATTATTACCATTTTTATGATTATGAATATTAGTTTTATTTTTATAAATGCAATATAAAAATACTATATGCTCAAAATATCCATTTTTATAAATAACAGTTTTATAATTTTTATAAATTCAATATAATATTCTCAAAATATTAGCTTTTTACATGTATTTTTTAAATAATAAGCGATAATACTCGCTGAAAAATATGGTAAAATACCTGATAGGTGAATTTTTGTATATACCAGGTCGAATATAATTTTAAAAAATTCCGAGGGGCCTTAAATTTTTTTTTAAAAATATATCAGGGCTGAGCCTTAAATTTTTTTATATCCGGGCCGGGCCTGAAATTTTTAAATCCGGGCCGGGCCGTAAAAATTTTTTTAAGAAATATCCGGGCCAGGCCTAAAAAATTTAAAACCGGGCCGGGCCGGGCCGTGCAAATGGTACCTCTGCAGGTCTCTGTTAAATAATAATTATTTAATAAAATCAATATTTTATATAAAAGTATTTAATATTTTTTAAATTAATATATTTTTAATTAACTTAATTTTTTTTTTTTAAAGAAATTCATATCTATATTAAACAACAATACATACGCATCTCATTTTTAATAATTTTTATTAGGAAATGAGGAAACAAAAAATAATTATAATTTTGCACTTTTAAAATTAATTGAAGATACCTGGGTAAAATATATATATGTCTTTTTATCGGTATAAATTATTATAATTTAAGAAACGCGGCCAAATATAAATCAATATTAAGTAATTAAAATTATTCTATAAGAATATCAGAGACCTGCTGGCCCACCTGGAACGTGAGGGAAAATGATATAAATAAATATGCAAAATAAACCAACATTATTCAAAACTTAGTCAAAAATAACGATCCTAGGAGGGCAAAAAAATTATTAACTTTGTAGGTCTCTGAAAAAATATACAAAGAATTAATTATTTATACAATAAATTTAAGCATTCTAAATTTCATTAAAATAAAAATAAATTTATTGGATAGATATTATTCAGTATAGGAGAAAATGTGTTCAATGTATCATTGGCCTGATTAACCCAGGCTTTAAAAGCCATAGGGGATTAAAGTTAAATATTAAATATAACTTCTCTCTCTCTCTCACCCTATATATATATATATCAGAGACCTGCAGGTACTCTGGTTGGACCGTACATAAATTTTTTAATATATTCGAGCCGGACTGGGCCAGTTCTAAAAATCTTTTTAAAAACCCGGTCAAAAATTTTAAAATCAAATATTTTAAATCGCCATTGTTATCTATATAGATAAATAATAAATATAATATATTTTAAAAAAATTCGAGCCGGGCTGTGCAAATGGTACCTCTGCAGGTTTCTGAGATTATATAAGGATTTTCCAAAAAAGAATATTACTCGAATAATGAATTAGTCGTTACGAATTCGTTTAAACAAATGAAATAATTTATTATTAAGTCGTTTGAAAGAATCGAATACAAATAATTTATTATTCAATTCGTTTTTGTGTATAAATTATATACATACCTATTCAAAGATGATATATGAATTTTAAAACTTCAAATGTTAAAAAAAGTTGGAAATATTTTTTTTACCACCAAATATAAATTTGGAAAATAAATCAAAGACATATTTTATCTTCAATTTTAAAATAGTTAACAGATTCTCTATGTATTTTTTTTATCAAAAGATAAATATTATAAATATTGCTATTGAAAATAAAATTGGAGTTTTGTAAAAATTTTGGTTAATATAATAATACTCGACAAGCCACTTGCCGAACTAATCCGGTCTCCTTTATGCAAAATTAATATTATAAGAATGAGCTTCCATCTTAATTTGGAATGCATTCATAGTTTAAATTAAAATTAAGTAGCCGGTAAGAATTTACATTCCTTTATGTATTTCTCAGGTGCTTGAACAAAAGGGAAGGATTTTTTATTGAAAACGATTGAATGAGGATAAAATTTCACTTTTAAATTAAGCGTAAATTGATTGATTTTTATATAGTGGTGCCCAAATATTTGCAGCTTTCAATTGCCGATATCTGATATTCATTTATATCAATGCTCTCTTTTTCATCTCCTCCTATCACCATATACTCCGTCTTTTCTCTATTTACTTTTAGTCCGTACTTTTCAAAATTTCACTTTTAAATTAAGCGTAAATTGATTGATCTTTATTTAGTATTGAAATAAATATTTTGCTTAAATTAAGATTTTAAATCATTTTTACATTATTATTATTGTTAATATTATTAGCACAACCATTAATGATCTCTATCTGCATTGGGTCTAATTTTTCAGGCCGGGCTCGAAATTTTTATAAAAAAATTTTCCTTGCTCAGCCCAATTCCGAACTAAATTTATTTTATTTGTACAGAAAAGCCCGACCCAAAATAAAAATTATATGTCTGTCCGGCCCGGTCCGAATTTATTTAAATATAGAAAGATTTAATTTTTTTTTTGATTGCAAAATTTTATCTACAAATAAAATATATTAGCGCCTTATTTCTTGCATATATCAATTTATTTTAAAAAAGGGATTTCATATTTAAATAAATCCCGATCAGCCCCGGCCCCAATTTTTTTAAAAAAATATTAGGCTCAACCTAGTCCGAGCGGAAATTAATTTTTAATGGTAGACCCGGCCTAGTATAAAACCCGTTCCGACTGTGCTGGGCTCGATTCTGAAAGTATAAGCATGATAGAGATAGGCCTAGCCTGTCCCAGTCTTAAACGTCCAGTGATATTTTTTATAAAGATTTTCTAGCTAGTCTTTATCAGTAAAATTTTTTAATTAAAATTTGCCCAAACGTGTAAAACAAAATTTTACAAGGAAAAATATCCTAAATTTTCTACTAAGTTTTTCTCAGTTCCTTCTTTGCCCTATTCTTCCCGTGTTTCTGTCGGGTTGAAAAGAGAGGCAATTCTTAGTATACCAAAAAAATCTCTATAAAATGTATTAAAAATTTTTAAATGGCCCCATTGATCAATTTGAACAAGGTAATTATTTTGTGGTGCTGTGACAGCAAATTTAAACCGCACTGTATTAAAGGAACAAATAAAATATTTGAAAATTATGCAAGAAATTATATCTTATACATAGGGGAGAAGTGCCATGAATGGCCATGTTTTTGCTTTTTTGAAAAAAAAGTATTAAGAATAGGGTTTAACCAAACAAATTTGATATCAGTGTGTAGCCAAATTATTAATCTTTAAAATAAAATTTGAATTAAAGCTCTATCTATAATTGTTTATGAGCTAGATGAGGTTATGTGAAAGTTGCCATATACTATGTGTTAACTGGCCATAATATATTAATTAAGAATTTTATTATAAATATGAAATACTTGCAAAAGACCTATCTTATATATTTTTTCATTTTGGGTATATAAAAATTTAATTATACACTAATTTAATAAGTATAAGCATCTAAATTTTTCATCATTCATTTAATGATACTTTATAAATTAATAACTTAATTATCTTTTTGTTAAACAGTTTAATTTCAATATAAAATTAACCACTCTCTATTTAATGACTTTATAAATTATTATCTTAATTATTTACATGTTATAGACTATTTTAATAATTTAATCATTCATCAATTTATAAATTTATGTTTAATAAACTTAGTTAGACAATATATTATTTAGAATTTTATTATAAATATGAAATATTACAATTAGAAATACTTCATGTTAATATTTCTTAATTTTTAGGCAATAAAAATTTAATTATAAGTATTAACATCTAAATTTATCATCATCTATTTAATGATAATATTTTATAAATTAATATCTTAATTATCTTTTTGTTAAACATTCTTATTTCAATATAAAATTAATCTCTATCTATTTAATAATTTTATAAATTATTATCTTAACTATCTACATGTTAAAGTGATTTTTAATAATTTAATCATTCATGATGTTTAATAAACTTAATTAGGCAATTATTAATACACAACAATAATAAAAGCCATTTTATTAATTTATAAATGAAACAATTATAGTATCTTTATTTACATACATAATAAACAAATAAATCATTGTTATTAGTACATTAAGTATAAGCCCATTCTTCACATTGCATGCATTTAATCCACTCTTCACCTTTCTTGCTCTTTGAATATGCCTTCTTGCATATTATGCAAAGCCACTCATCATTAGTTTTCTTTAGATTTTTTTTTATTGTTTTTTTTAATATTTGTTAATTTATGTTTTTTATAAGGTGATGAGGTTAAAATTTCTGATTTCTTTCTCCTCTTGTCTTTTTTGATAATATTATTGCTATATAAAATTGGATGTGGTAGAATAGATTGTGAATTCAAATTATTATTGGGCTGATGACATGATGTTAATCATAACTCATTATCAGAAGTCATAGGCATAGGGCTAAGAGTGGAATTTATTGTATCATTTTCAGGATCACAATAAGCTAATTTCCCTGCCCGAGGAATATTGGATAATTCTGACATATCATCATCATTAGATATTAAATTACTATCTTCAGAGAATATATCAGGGTTGAAGGGATATATCCCACAGGCTAAAAATCCATTCTGAATATTTTTGGGGGTTGTAGCTTTAGGAAGCTCCATTTTAATAATTGATGGTATTTCATATATGGTAAATGATTTGCCTACATGGTTTCTCATCCAATTGTCAATGCTGTTATTATAAAAAATTTTAAATGGTCCAAAGATTGATTTATCTAGTGGTTGTAACTTGTGGGAGCAGTGTGGTGGTAGGGTGAGCAGGATTATTCTATTGTCTCTGCAAAAATCTATTGATCTTAGTGAGCAATGTGAACAATGATTGTCTAATATTAATAAATTTTTATTTGTTTTGGATGCTTTTGTTAGTTTGCAAAAATGAGTTAAAAATATCAGGAATTCATTTTCCTGCATCCACCCAGATCCATTTCCAGCACCAATACAACCTGAATGAAGTAAAATATAAATAATAAACATTCACATTATAAAAACCTATAGGGCCTCTCTGATAAACCAATCTTTGTATCGAATTCTTGGAAATAGTAACATAGGAGGAACCAATTGCATTTATAGCTATAGCAATGGTCACTAAGGATCCTCTTTCATCTGATGTTAAAAATCCTACCTGTTTCATGCCCTTCTCTGCAATAACTTTACCAGGATCTTGGACAGTGGTTACTCCAGTCTCATCCATATTCCATATGTCTTGTGGTTCAAATTTATATTCATCCATTAGAGATTTTAAATTATCAAAAAAAATTTTGACACTGTGAGGATTGAAGCCTCGAGCTCTAGCCAAGCTTGTTGCTTCAGGGGTTCTAAGGGCTAATGTAGGATGTCTATTTTTAAACCCTTTGAACCAATCCAAGCCAGCCATTCCATCATGAGTCCAACTTTCTGGAAACTTTAACTCATATTTTTTTGCTAAATCATGTGCCAATATTCTTATCTAATATTTAATAGAGAATTAAATTGTTTAAAATATAAATTTTACTTGCTTTATGCCAAAACCCATTAGTGATTTACTAGCCTGAATTATATAATCTTTTAAAAGGTCCTCCTGAGCTTTAGTGAATATTAGCCTATTTGAACTCCATCCCATATGAGGATATTCCAAAGTCTCTTTATATTTATTCATAGCTCTTCTTAAAGTCGTTCTAGGAATATTAAATTTATTAGCTATTGATAGTGTTGATTTTTTATTAATGATTATATCATCAATTGCCAGTTTAATTTGTTCATCACTTGAATTTGCACCAAATATTGTTTTGCGCGCCTTTTTCATTTTAATATGAATGTATGATTTTGGCCAGTCAATGCCTGGCCAGACAAAGTTTAATTTGTTCATCACTTGAATTTGCACCAAATATTGTTTTGCGCGCCTTTTTCATTTTAATATAAATGTATGATTTTGGCCAGTCAATGCCTGGCCAGACAATACTCACCTGTCTATTATTAATAAGCGCCTCTATATGTCTATTAAATAAAACTTTTAAAGTCTTATTTTTTGTGTGAATAATGCTAAATGCCTAAGGATAATATTTATATAAAATATCAGTAATCTAAATTAGTAATTTTTTCACCAAACAAAAAAATGTGTAACGTGATTTTTCCAGAAAGAGGTACCAAAAACAGTTTTTATAAAATATTTTTATATTGGATTGCTCTATTCAATAAATGAACTTAGGTAAAATAAATATCATAAATATACACATTTTGACTAATTTTGAGAGAAATCGGTCCAATAGAAAAAAAGTTAAAGGGTGGTGGCCAGTCTTCAAACGTGGCCATTTATGGCACTTCTCCCCTATATAATTTTATGAATTTAATAGATAAAGCTTTCTTGGGATTCATGTTGAGATTTCTTTAAATATTTTTTTAAAAAATTAATTGTTACATTTCATGTTTAATTTTTATATAAATTTTCCACAAAGACCGAAATTTTTATCCATTATTTTGTAATTAATAATAGAGAGGATGTCAGCATGAAAATCTTTTAAAATTTTAACAAGCATTTATGCCTATATATACATCAAATTATTTATTAAACTAATCTATTTAACTTTATATAATTGACAAAAATATTTTTTTTAAAAAAAATATAAGAATCCCACAAAGTGATCATGAATTTTTTGAGAAAATATTTGCCTTGCTGAAAAAGCACAAATATGATCAAATACCATCATACGAAGTAATTATTAGATGCTTATTTTAACATGATCATTATCTCATTATATCAAAATTTATATATTAATAAAATATTTGACAACTTTTTCATATTAAAGGACCTTCAATGAGTTTAGGCTAATCAAACCTATACAAATGTTGGTCCCACAGTCATAATTAGAATTTTATAAAATTAGATTTGAAAACAACATTTTTTAAAAATATTACCCCCTCAAAATATTGAATTCTGGAATTTTATTAACAATTATTTAAATTTAATCATAAAGAATGAATTGAAGATGGCTGAACAAAATGAAACCAAATTAAAATTACCAATTCACGAAGTCGAACAAATCCCGGATAAACAGGTATAATTTTTCATATGCGAAGTCTAAATCCTTGTTATTTTGTTTTTACTCTTAAATACACTAAAATAGGATTGTCCTAATTAGATTATTGTTTTCTCAAAATTTTTCATAGTCATATTTTAGATATCAAAAAGTAGTTAGCTATATAAAGCTTCTTTTTTTTTAAAAAAACGTTTGTTTTTACAAAATAGACATTCGTCCTGTTCGATCAATAGCTTAAGTAATTTGACTAATATTTTATTTTATTTTTATAAGTAATCAGGTATGGATATTTGCGATCTGCAAAACCCGGTCTAGCCCATCCGTAAGTCTTGCCCGCCAGCCGGGCTGAGCAAAGAATTTAAGAGGTCAGACTGGGTTTCGCGGACCTCTAATGGACGTACCATATAGTAAAACTTGATTAAATATATATATATTTTTTTAAATCTAGAAAGAGAAATTATATATTGAGGTGCTATATACCATTGAACATAAATTGGGAAAAATTGATATAGACAAATTGAAATACCCGCAAGATTTATATACATATTGTCAAGAGGCATTTAAAATCGATGATAAAACTCATGAAAGATTATTGGACACAGCGCAAAAGGAAAAACCGCCAACTTTGGTGTTAAACATTGATTTAATCGAAGCAAGAGATTTGGAGTCTAAAGATGTAAATGGTATATTAGCAATTATTTTTTATGCGGAATGGAATTATATATATATTCATGTATTTATTTTTAGGATATAGTGATCCTTATTGCATGTTAGGAATCATACCTGGTGATCGAAAGGATGATATTAGTGTTTGCGAACCTATATCTGAGCCAGATCTGCATAAACATCAATGTAGGTTAAATATAAAAATAAATATTCAAATTGAAGTTTGGCGCTTTATTATAATGATCGGCATGGCGCTATCGGTGGGAAGTGATTCCCCCCCCCCGCGGCAATTTTTTAAGTTTCTCTAAATATTATTTTAAAATCTAATAATAAAATTTTTTAAATAATTGCCATTGCAAAAGAAGTGTACAGCACGAAAAAAAAATCACATTTCGCAAAAATTATTTTTTTTGGTAATAAATATTTTGTTAAATCGCGGAATTAATTGGTAAGACATAGAGCTGGAATTAAAATGATTTTACATTAACAGGTCAAAGTCTTCAAAAAAGTGAGATTAAATACAATTTATAGAAAGTACCCCCCCCCCCCTTAAGAAAATTATAGACATACCTATGTTTATAATATAATTTTTTAAATAGGGAAAAGAAACACTAAAAAATCGTTGGATGTTCAAAATATATTACAAAATATATCACAAAGTGCTATACCCGCAAACTACATTCATGTGTCATCGGTGCAATATAAAACATTGTCCCCAAAATGGAACGAAAAATTTAAATGGTATAGAACATATAGACTTGTAAAAAAAATTGAAAATAAATATCAATTTATTTACAATGTTTTTTTTCTTTTATTTTAAAAAAATATCCAAAATCTACACATGAAAAAAAAAATACATTGCCAGTTCGAAATAATGTTGTTTAAACCCAAGATTTTAGCTTTAGTCTATCAACGGTTTACGTATCATTTATGGTACATTGATTTTGAATTTTTCGCAACAGCGGAAATATCATAACCTCAATGTAGCGCTGTGTTTTGTATAGAAAATAGATGGATCGATTTTGTAGATAATTTTAATCTTTATCTATAGCAGCCTGAAGTATTGATTGTGGTGATTAAAATGAGCCGATTAGTATAGAAAATTAGTTGAAAAATAAAGAGACATATTTTGCTTCTTCTCCAAATAGTAAAAATGCGATTCACATGCGAACGCTTAATTATTTGGTCGGAAAAAATACAACCCCCCCCCTCCCTCCCTCTCCCTTTGTTCCTACTAACATTTTTTTATCCCAAGCCTCTCATTCTTCTATTTTTCTTTTAGTATAATCTTGGTTCCAAATTATTTGGGGTCTGAAAAATATACACTTTAATCCCCGTCTAAATACTCTATATGGTTATGCCTTTTTGTGCCAAATATAGTAAGTATCATTAACTTTGGTGAAAACTTGTTTTTTTAAATATCACTTATTCATTTACAATTTTGCATCTTTAGCATAATACAGGATATCAATAAGGACCAACTTCATTTAGATATTTGGGATCATGATGATGATTTTTCTGTCTCCGAAGCTGCAAAAAAATTGAATCACATTCAAGGATTTAAGGGTATGGGCAGGTAAATTATTTAAATTAAAAAAATATAAATATATATAGTTTTAAATATATGTATATATAATTTTATTTGTTGATTTCATAACTACTTTGAAGATATTTTAAGCAAATTGTCCAATCTGCTAGAACCAATGAGGATCAAAATGTGGACGACTTTTTAGGATGTATAACCTTAAATCTTAATGTAAACTTAATTTGACTTATAAGATAATATATCATTTTTTATATATAAAGAATATTCCTTCAAATGGGATTGACAGGTGGTATGATCTCAAAGGGCGAACTACAAAATCTAAAGTGCAAGGGCGTGTAAGGTTAAAATTATATCTATCTACAAAAGAAGATACCAATGATTCGATTGAGGACAACTTCAGTGACATTGAGCAACACATATCTTTATATAAAATCTTCATCGAATATGAATTAAGGAGACTGCCGGTATCGATTTTTTAAGAAAATTATTTATTAACTGTTAAATTTGTTTTTAAAACAAAATTAAGGAATATTTATCATCTTATCATTGGAATGGTAATCTTTCGTCTAAAGCAATGGTGATCATGCATCAGCATGCGATACAAGGGGATATCACTGAAATTCAAGAAGCCTTATGGTAAATATATTAGATTATTTCTCGGGTTTTTTTTTCGGATTTTTGTAAAAATCAAAAAAATTTGAAACCTAATCATATAGGGAAGACCCAGGCCCAGGGAGATATGTCAGAACTCATTTGAAATATATTAAAGTTTAAAGAGTGAAAACCTGTCACAATGGATAATTATGATAAGAATGCATGACAAAAATATATTATCTCTATGATCAGATACAGGCGCATAACTAAGGACAAATTTGCATGTTCTCGTATATATCATTTTAAGCTAATAAAAATTTTCTCCCTACACACCCCAACTACCCTCTCCCCCTAAAAATATATACAATTAAAAAATATTTTTTAAAAAAGTGAAAACCCAAAATTATTTTGTAAAAATCTAATATAACCAAAGGCTACAATTAGTGGACATTAAGAGCTCAAATAAAATTTATGGAGGTTAATTATGAAGTAATAAGGGAATTGATTGATAATATATAAAATAAAAATCGTAACACACCCGTTTAATTTTTAAAACCACTGATTTAAGATTTTTATATATATTAGAGACATGCGGGGATACCATTTGTATCCGGCTAGGGAAAAAATTATTTTGTCTCGGCCCGAGTTATGTATTTTTAGGCCCGGCCCGGATTTTTTTAAAATATATCACATTTATTTTTAATTTTTATAATTAATAATGACGATTTAAAAAATTCGATTTTCCTTATTTTTAAAAAAATATTTTTAGGCCCGGCCCGACTCGGGCATTTAAAAAATAATTTAAGCGCTTCTCGGACCGGGTATATTTAAAAAAAATTAAAATAGGTCCGAGCCCGATATATAGTTAAATAGATATATATATTAATGTATATAAATTTTAATTATGAAATAATAAGATAATTTATACACTCATTTGTTATTAAATAAAAATAAATGAAATAATCTAAAATTTGGAGTACCAATTGCCCAGGTTTGTGATCCAACCTACCCTATCATCTGTTCCGACGTGCCCTAATTTGTAATGTTATAATTTAGTCTTTTTTTTTAAATTATTTTGGAGAAATTCCCTTTTTTTTAATTTATAGAAAAGAAAGAGAGAAAAAAATATTATTATATAATCTAAATTTATTTTTACCCTATTATTGTATACGATAATTCAAGCAAATGGGAAGCGTACAGCTATGCTCATAACATTTATTCATTAGATTTTTCATTGATACTAAAGTTATTGCAAAATTTGGATTATACGTACGATGAAAACATTATTAATAAGGATGAAGTTAAATCTCAATGGAAATTTTATATATCATTGATTTTATATTTTTAGGAAAATATATTATCGGAATCATTTAAATCTTTCATTCACAATTCTCTAACAAGCATAATAAATATAGACTGCAATTATCCCGCAACAAACAAGGCATCAAATAAACGTTTAGAAACGTTATTAAGGTAATATGAACATTCTGTTTAATCTTCAAATATATAAAGTGCTTTTTACAAATTATAGTTGCTTAGAATACATGTACAAGATGAAATTATTCAAAATCTGTTGCCCATTTGTCAAAGACTGTTCGATTGAAATCTCAAATGTGATTAAGGTTTTATTTATTTATTTTAAATAATTTTCTAAGGTAAATTATTTATCTATTTTATATAGAAAAGCTGTGAATCAAAATATTTTCAATTAAAACATCATGTGGAGAAAAATCAAGTATTATATATTGTATACAATATGACATAAGTTTGATATATTTTCAATTTTAAAGAATTTACGTGAGCGATGTCATTTTAAAAAAATCGTATACTGTAAATGTATTCCTGATACATAGGGCACTAATACTTCTATGAATTTCAGACAATTTTGCAGAATTTTTGAACTACATATTAATTTTATTTATTATATATATATATATATTCAAAATATCATAATTTATGGCCAAAATCATCTGAAATTTATAAGGTACAAATTAATTTATACATGCCGGGTTTAAAATCGCTCTCGTATATGATTTAAAATGGAGAAATTCGGAGGATTTTAGCATAAGTTCTTTATTCCAACTTACAAAATGTATGTATTTATTCATATATTATTCATCCCTAAAAATTAACTTTTTATATTAGGATGATTATAATATGGGAAATATTTTGAAACTTTTGATGAAAATAAATTTTGAACTCTACAAGTCACAAAAATATTATAATGATATCTTTCTAAGGTAAATTTTATAACGATTAGTGTATTTTGTTAAGATTCATGACATTAACAAATTTTTTATATTGTTAAATTTAAAAAAAAATGAAAATTTGTTAATTAGTTTATGATACATTTTTATAAATATAATTGCGAAATAAAAGAGGCATTATTAATTGTTTATTTGGCCTGCCTTATATTTTGTCTATTTATAAACCTATTAAAGTTAGAAATAACATCAGAGAGCCAGGCATACCCGGATCGGGCCGATCCGGGCCGGGCCGTGCAAATGGGGAAAACAAATCAAATATATTCACTTAAAAAAGGCGCGTTATTTAAATAATTATGTTCCTATTGCTAAAGCTAATTAAAGCTGAATTTAAGAAAATAATGAAGAACTCCTGAAAAATAAGAGAATAAGTTAATAAGATAACGAAAATTTGATTTTGATGATCTGGATTGCAAGTCCTTGACGTATTTATTTTTTTAAATATATTATAGATCATCAAACATTAATTATATCGAGATCGTTACAAATGTCCTCACGAAACTAGTATAAAATTATGATTTTTTAAGATATAATTTATCAATTTTTTATTCAAAAAGTTTTTAGTTGATTTTTCAAAGATTCTAGATGAAGAGGTATAAAAAAAAATATTTAATGATCTACAACAATTTATAATTTATATAATGTATAAAGATGAATGAGTATCGAAATATCAAGACCGATAATTTTTTGATTCACCTAGAAAAATATAAAAAGAATATAGATAAAGATTATAAATTATTCGATTCCATATATTTTGAGATATATTACGAATTACAAATTATGATAGGGTATTCCTCACAGATGTATAAATATTTATAAAATATAAATATATCATTTTTTTAAATATAAATTGATATTAAAGTACTGATCCTAAATCGACGCAGATGGACGAATATTTTTTATGGTTTATTGTCCCATTGTATAATTGGTTTAATCTAGCGGAATCTAATATAAATATAAGAATGAATATGGCCATTGAACTAGACAAGGTATATTATTTGGTTCATTCATTATAATATACGATAGAATTTATTGTTCATTTTCTAATGAAATGTTTTCTTTTTAGTTAGAACCAATAAAACATAAAAACAAGACAATTTCCTCGAGCATTATCAATTTAATCTATTGCTTGAAACAAGTTTAAGAAATATTATGGGAAATCTATATGTGATATTATGATTTTTAGATTAAACGCATATGGAATGATTTACATTGGTACAATAGAATCGTGTCCCTACTTTTTATTGAAAAAATATTAGAGGTTATATCTTATTAAACTTAAATTAATTTTATATACTACAGATTAGCGATTCATGCATTGAATGCATTTGAAAGTGTACATAGATTGAAGCCAGCTATAGCGCCATTTTGTGGTTTGCAGGTCGTTTAAATGACATAAAGGCATTAATATAATGATCGATAAGAAATTGGTCCACGTGCAAACCATTAAATGGAGCTACAGCCGAATCCTATATATGTAAACATTTAATTGACGAATCGCCTATACATTTTCTTTTCCTATGTTATGAGAAAATTATAATATAAAATTGTATATCATAAATATTTAATCATTAATTTATTTTATAATTTTTTGAATTATAATCATCCTTATATTTATGATAAACATTTTTTTCCTACATGGAAACCAGAGCCAATAGTATTATAATCATTTAATTCTTTTGCGATAATGAATGAAGTTAGGTTACATATTAAATCTTACATCATATTGTTTCTAATTTATTTTACTTACTTAAATTAATTTTATACTAATTTATAATTATAATGTTAATTTACCCATTAGTAAATTAGAGTGAAAGAGAATATAAAATTTCAAAATTTTGAATCAAAACAATTCTAGGGAGATAGTAAACTATAAAAAAAAACACTAACTAAAGATGAATATTTAAGATATTTTTTTCCATTTTTTTCGCCCAAAAAAAAAATATCTCAAAATTTAGTATATCGTGGCTCCAGAATTAGGGGGCTCTATCTGACATTTTTGAAAATCGAGTTAAAGGTGTAAGCTAAGATATTCATATCCATTTTTGTCTAATTGGTCTTCTCTACCCTTCTAGAGTCTAAAAAAGGTTCTATCTAAATATTATCTATTGAAAACTATAACTGCAATTCCGAATTTAAAAAAAACACTTTTATGAAGGACTATCAATAAATCATTTAAAGAGTGAATACTGTTCTCTAAACAACAATGTTCAAAATAATTTCAGGTTTAACAGTACTGAGAAAGAGTATCTTACATATCTAGGGCCACCCTTAGGCAATGAAGACTCCTTCACTAATCTTTTTGCAGATATTTTAAAGGAACTTAAACAAATCCATCAGATTTTCTGTATCTCACGGCACACCAGTCCTTTTTTTTGCTAAAGAATTGCCTTATAATTCCGAAGATTCTTTACATCCTACGTACGATCAACACTTATTTTTCAATATCCTTCTATTCTTGCTACCTACGAACAAGGGACCAAAATATTGACCGAACAAACAGTCAATCTTAAATTTGCACTCTCCAACTTAAGTCATGATGCTATTGTTGAAACAGAACGAAGTAAACCAAATGTTCGCGTTTTACATCCCAACCATTTATTCATACCAATAATTGCTACAACGCTAACTTCTATTGGCACTCACGCCCTAGCCTTTTACAAGGATCTTGGGCATTGCATCATATCGAAAAATTTAAATGAAGGCTTTTACTAGACATAGAATAGCAATTAACATAATTCTATCTAACTACAGTAGTTTCCTATTATCTTTTGATGGATTAGAATTCATTTAATATATTTTAGATAACTTATGTAACTAACATTGCGCAAAAGAAATAAGTTTAAAATTTAATGAACTCTTCGGAAGATAATAATTTATACACATTCATTTTTTTATTAGAGTTTGGAATCATTTTTACTTAAATCAATTTGAAAATTTTCTAGTCAACATGCACATTTTAACCATGAGCGTATACTTCTAAAATTAATATGAATTTATTTTAATATAAATAAAGCTGTTTAATAGTGTTCTGCCAATTTTTGTTTCATAAATTGTACTTTTAAACTTTAAAGTGGATAATCTCATTCCGTATAAGAGTACAGATATCGCACTTTGATTTTGAATCCACGATATATTAATAAAGGGTATTGAAGTTTTTAATTTTATTGCCTCTTGGTATCGGTAAATAAAAATTTTCAACCAATTATTTTTGATATTATAACTTAAATCCAAATTATTATTTTTTTTAATAAACCTAACAATTTAGATTCAACATCTTTCAACTGTTTATTATGCGGATTCCTTCATACCCAAAGCAAATAAAATTATTTATAAAGGCAAAAATTCTTGTGTAACAAAGGTACAAAATATAAAATTTAATCTAATTTATTGGTAAATTCTTAGCAATGTTTATTAGTCAATAATATGCAATACCTTCTATATTATTTATCGCTATCGCCAGAAGATCTGTCATTAAAAGATTCCTTACAAACCGTTAAAAAAGTATAACTAACTAATCATTTAAAATAATGTAAATTTTAATTAATTCATAAAAGATCCGCAAAGCCCCTCCGTCCGAAAGTGGAAATTTTGGAAAAAATTAAAACAGACCGGGCCGGATTTGTTTTTAAATAAAAATAAAACGACCTGGGTGGGTAATTTGTGCATGAAAAAAAATTAACGGTCCGGTTCTAACTTTTCTTAAAATTTTTATGGACCGAGCCTGGCAAAAAATTTCTGCTCAGGCCAGACAACTTGTAAAAAAAATTTACGGCGAGAAGCGGACCGGGATTTGCAGACCTCTAATATCATATTATAATTCCTATTTCTTTTCGATGTTTAATAAAATTAAAATATCTCCCTTTTTCTTCAATTTTAATTTATACATATTTTAAAACATAAATTTTAAAAAGGTTTATCCCGACGATGTCTATATCAAAACATCTACCGATATTAATAACATTTTCGATAGTAATAAAGATTACATAGATTTAAAGATTGAAATACTTATCAAAGAATTGGTTGAAAAGGTAATTTATTTTGTTTTTCAAAAAAAAAAAATTTTTATATTGTTATTCATTTTATTCTAAATTCCAGGTTAATTATTATACTATCTATTCATTCTTTATTATTAATTATAATGGGTCATATTGTATAAATAAAGATACTTTTATATTATTTGAAAGTGCGTAGAATTGTTAGTGTGTATATGCCAAAGTTTGAAAGCGTAAACTGAAACTCTCTTCACGGGGTCATTTTAAAAATATCCAAAAACCGATTGAAACAAAAGTGCGAGTAATTTATCAGAGTTTGCAATGAGAACCCCGAATGAACAACATTTAACTACTTGGCCCAACTTTACTTTTTTCAAAAATATTCAGAACTGGATCATAACCTTTTTTTGTGTCCAGTGCCCAAACTTTTTCAAAATAGTGTTGACGGTTTGATTTGAGCAGATCTTCATAAATGGCTAGCTCAATATCTTTGCTAGAAAAATATTGGCCATGGCTCGAGATTTTGAAAATAGATATCCAAACCATTGTAACTGTGAGCAAAATCTTGAGACTTGGGTTATGTTTTTCTATATAAAATAGTTAACCTTTTTATAAGATAAGCTCAAATCGAGCCGTTTAATAACACTACTACTTTGCATATCATACAAAATGTGAGCAAATTATTTTATTATAATTTCTTCTTATTTTACAAGGTAAAAAATGATACTGATATAGATTTCCAAAATTTAAGATGCAACGAGCAAGATGAGAAGGGGGTAAAAATCATTTTATAATAATTTTATGATATTATTTTTTAAAAATATGTTTTCAATCTATAATTTAAAAAAAATATTCAGGATATTGAGCCTCTGATTAAATACCTTAACGAAACTTTATTGATTTGTAACCAGAATATGTTGAAAGCGCCTTTTAAGCAACTTTTGAAATATATATACCTAATGATTATAGACGAAATCAAAATCGGATTTGACGTTAATAAAACAGTTTAAAAAATATATATTATAATCTAGGTTTATTTTAGCAAATTTTAAAAAAATTAAATTTTTATATAGCGAACATTTTTTTTTATTTAGATGGACCTGATTTAACCGGAAACAAAGTCATTACCCTATTTATTTCAAACATATGGCACAAAGTTTTGGACATTTATATTAGTAAAATCTTTGTGCTATATTTTTTATTGAGTTAACCGTTTTTACAAATTGGCTCAAATCGAGCCGTTTGACAATACTAGTTATTATTGATTTAAGTTATGAAATTTTTTTTTTTACAGAAATCACAACCACATTGCAAAAGATTACAAGAAACGCTGAATATATTTAAGGATTTCTTTTTTGCCAATGGTGAAGGATTGTCAAATAACCAATTATCGAATAATCCAAAATATATAGTAATAAACATAATTATGATATAATAAAAAAATAATAACAATTTTTTTATATATAATAAGGCATTGACAAACAATTTGGTATGGTTTCAAATGGATACAAAGGATATTATTGATTTCATTTTATTGAAAAGATTAGAAAAACAAGTATAATTATAGTTCATTCCAAAATGAGCATTTGCCTCTTTTGTTTATATAATATTTAGATTTACATAATCGACTTTTTGTTTTAGTAATTACAGGTTTTACCAGTATACCACTGGTAAAATGAGAATATTTAGCCAATAAATATATAAAAACTACTTATACTTATATTAATTTAAAATTTATATTTTAGTTAAAATAAATGTAAAAAGCCCAAATATATTTTTAATAAAGAATCAAATGTATTGGTGTTTATAAAAACCGAATTGTAAATGTATTTGCGTGATTAAATTGAAGATCAAAATTTCATAAAATTTGATTACAAATTTGGGCACTAATGTACTTAGTAAATCTTAAAATTTCCCAATTTAAATAAATATTTTTAGTTATCATAAATTTTAAATCGATTATCTATTTTATTGAATTATAAATATACCTTAGAATATGACATTGGATTCTCCGTATGGGATCTTAACAGTCAAATCATATTATAATAATCGTGATTCTACTTTAACATTGAAAAGTATTAAACTATTTTTGTTTTAAAATATCATTTATATAATGAATGTATAAAAGTAATATCAGCCCAGAATTTGCCTTCTATGGATAAAAATGGTTAGTCTATTTTTTTATTCTCTGGTTTTAAAAAAATATATATTGATGTAGGGCTTAGTGATCCTTATGTTACGATAGATTTGATGCCAAAATTCATTTTTAAAAATATCGATAAAAAAACTACAAAGGTTATGAAAAAAACACTCAATCCTTTTTATGATGAGGACTTTACTTAGTAAATTACTCGTAATTAATAGATATATTAATTTTATTTATTTTTATGCCCTTAATTAAACATCCATATTCAGCAGTGAGTAGCAAATACTAATTAATTTTATTTAGTAAGTTAGTTATTTCGTAGAAAGAACATATCTAAATTAAAATGATAAAATTTTTACATATTATTTTTTTTATGCTTTATTACGAAAGAAGATTCGAGGCGCGTCGTTAGGCATATGAAAAAAGGGTGCTAGAAAAAATTAAAACGCATCTAAAAAAAATTTATGTAAAAATGCCATCTAAAATTTTTTTTTAAATATCACAACATAAAATATACTAATTAATTGAAAGTTTGTTAAGAAAATTAGAAAGAAAGAAAGTACTTTAATGTTCTTCTAAAACGTTTGTTTGTTTAGGCACGCTTATATTCTTTTAAATGCAAATTTAAATATTTTATTATTAAAGTCAATTTTAAAAATTTATTAAGCCTAAATTTTTTGAAAAAAATATTATATTGTATTATTTACATTTTTTTTATGTAAATAAATATCATTTGGTGATATTTTTTTGCATAATATATAACTTATCTAAAAATGATGAGTTATATAAATAATTTATAAAGTAACTTGACATTGTAGCTAATTACTTTTGAAATATAATTGTAACTAATTTGTAAGTAATGAGTTATTTTTTAAAGAAAAATCTTAACAACACTTGTAAAAATATTGCATTTATGAGAAATAAAAATATTTATAAAATTTAATGTCATTTATATAAATTAGAGACCTGCAGGCCTGGCCCTAAGCGCCGCTCGAGTACACGAGTAGGCCATAATTTAATTTTTTTAAATATACTCGAACCGGGCCTAATAATTATTTTATAAAAATATCCGGATTGGGCCTAAAAAAATATTTTTTAAAAAAGCCCCCCCTATTAAAACCAAATATTTTAAATCGCCATTAACTATAAAAATTAAAAATAAATAAAATATATTTTAAAAAAAATACTGGGCCAGACCGGGCCGTACAAATGGTACCTCTGAAAGTCCCTGATATATATTATATAACTTTTTTGAGTGTAAAAATATAACTCTAAAAATTATATATTTATATTGCGGGTAAAGGTAGTTATAAAAAAACGTAAAATTAAAAATTGATAAAGAAATTAAGAACATGTAGTAAATCGACATAAAAACGTAAAAATTGATAGTTATACATTAATTACGAGAAACTGGATATTATAATTCTCTTTGCCACAGAATACAATTAAAAAGTTTCACATAATGTATAAAAATGTAGTAAATAATAATTATTTTTTTGTGAATTAGAGAATATTGCTTGTTAGAATTTTTTCATTTCATTAAAATTAACGTTTTATAATTTGATTTTTAAAAAGCTTAAGCAACCAAAGCACATAGCTAACGACGCGCGCGTCTATCATTAGCTACTTCATTAACATAATAATATTTAAATTAGTCATATAGATCCTAGTCAATGTTCTCATATTTCCTCAATAATAAAATTTACAATCATGGATCAGGATATTTTTGAAAAGGATTATATCGGGGAATGTTATTTATCATTGCATGACATACAAGGACTTGAAGGGGAAGAATTTTCTATCGATGATATAATTCCTACATACCTACAACTGATAAAATTTCAAGAAAGTTGGTTATTAATATTCTTAATTAATACTTCTTTTTATTGTTCATAAAGATGTAGGTCCTGAAAATGTGATAGAATTTAGAAAGGAAAGCGACAACTTAGCAAAAGATTTTTATAAAACAATAAAAAATGGATAAATGATACTCAAATTTTAAAAATATGTATTAAAGTTTTAAAAATATTTTCAAAACTATTTTTCATGATGATGTTGACACATACAAATATGAAAAATAAAATATTTAATATATTTACGATTCATTCATTATCGTGCTAAAAATTGCATGAAATATAATTTTATCATGCCCCGAAGGAAACTTACATAATGTATTTTCATTAATATATAGACCACATACAAAATATTTACTTTTTATTATAGAAAACGGTACCTATATGTAGTTCGTTAGCAAAAGTAGAAATAGATATGCCAACAAATTATTAGTTCCGTTTCCGATAGAATAGTAATGAAGGTGAATTGATATTGTTAACTAACAATGTACCTGTTATAGTAGTCTAGTTTACTTCTTAGTTCTTGGATTGTGAGTAGACATATAGTTTAATTAGCTGTAATAAATCTTACACCATTAATATTTCCATGCCAATCATAGTCATTCTGAGTCTCGGAGATGATATTAATTCAATTCCAGTCTTATATTAAGATGAGCATAACATGATATAGGCATGAGCGCGATTTACATAAAAGAATTTATACAGATTGTTTTCTATATTTTAAGCATAGACATATATTAATATACACCAGTGGCCCCTACACTTTCTGAGCGAATGAAGCAGAATAACCCCCTGAAAAGCACCCCCCCCCCCAATGATAATTATTTTATGACACCCATAAATTTCAAAAATAATTTTTATTGCATCAATTTTTCATATATAAAATAAATAAAATGCAAAAAAATATATACTTTATAAATATTATTTTTAAATAATAATTTAGATAAATTAGAGGAAGAGAAAGCGAAAGAATTTATAATTTCATCAATATTTAATTGTTTAAATAAAATTTTTTCCATTGATAATATGGTTAAATCATTGAGAAATGAATCTTTCATGGTACTACGAAATCTTGTTTTAATTAATTTAATTTTACTCATGACTCTTTCGGCAGTACATGAGGTTGTAGGAATGGTTAATAAATATTTATATAAAATTCTTAAATTAGGGAAAGCAGAAAAATTTAAAAGTAGACGATAAGGTAAAATAGATGAATAGTTTTTCCAATCTGAATCGTAAGTCCCTGAATTATCATCATCATCAGAAAAAGCTAAATAATTTATTGGTAAAAATATATTAATTAAATAAATTTACAATTCTCAGAATCTGACAAATCTTTAGATTCTTGAACCTCTAGGTCATGAGTAATAATTACATTCCCCATTTTGGTCATCTTATAAATATTTCTAAACTTCAACATTTCTTCGAAAATTTGACTTGAATTTAAATTGTAAAATTCAGATATCCTCGATATCTTCTTTAATAATTGATTTTTCTGCCATTCCCTTTGGCGTAAAAAATGATTTTTGATGTAAAAATTTCATCGAATCAACATTAAATCTTTCGTTAAACTGCATATGTTGTATTCGTTAAAATTTAATAAAGCTAAATTAATATTTATTACCAGTAGAGATAATAGGAATTTATTGTTCTGCTTTATCAAATCTCTGCTCTGTGTCTGCCTTTAAAAAAATATAGCAGAGAACTGATATAAGTAAAATAGTAGACTGATGAAATATAATCGAGTCAAAATGTTGTCAGGTTTTTATAATTTAAAATCTACGGGGAAATAAAACTCTTTTCTTCGTTAATTCAAACAATATCTATTTTGCTAACTCCCCCCGGAAATCAAGAGTATAAACACGGGATAAGCTCAAATTCATTACGCCACTAGGATAAAAATCCACATAAAAAATTGAGTATTTATTTTTTAAATTTAACGCCTAAATTTTATTGAACCTTTTAAATAAAGGAAAGGTTTATTTTGGTGCACTTTCCTCTTTGTTTACCTTGGTTATTGCAGTTGGAAACAAAATACAGGCATTTGCAAAATTTTAGTTTTAAATTTGCAAAATCGGGATTGTTGACCATCTAAAACAGTTGAATAATTAATAATTTGTCCATCTCATTTTCTTTACATAAAGTTAATTTTGTTTTATTGAATTACCAATATTTTTTTACATTGGAAAACCAAACCCCCAATATAATTGCTATAAAGTTTCTTTTAATTATTAGGGAACTTCAGAATACATAGACAAGAAAATGCTCTCAAACTAGGGGTTTATAATGATAATTATAATGCTTATGTAATTAAAACTTAAAAAAAGAAAGCGTAATTATACTACATTTGTTATTTATTGCCCAACCCTGTCTAATATATTCAAATAAGTGAAATAATCATGAGAAAGTATTCTTAGAGTTGTGATACTTTTAATTCTTAGTTGCAAAGTAACAAGTCATAAACCCTCGAGATGTAAAAGGTGGGAAAAAATTTACAAGAGTAATGTAGCGGATTTAATGGTAAAAAATGAAAAGCACTATATATTTGTCGACAAACCACAGGCAAGGTTGAAGAACTGTCATTTAAACGTCTATGTGGTGAGATACAAGAGAAAGCCTATGCCCAAGAATTGCACATATATATCACTTTGTGGGGCAAGGGTTGATATTAATTTTAAATGTTTATGTTAATAAGTAGATTCTATTGATGTTAGTATTTTGTTAGTTTTTATTTTTATTCTCGCATTTTGTAATTTTCTAAGGACTTGTTTTATATTCTCTAACAGCTCTCATCATTTTTTCTTCTAATTATAACATAGTCCAAATAAACTGCTGTCTTTACAATCAGCCAGTAGATTCTCCAAATATATTATTAGTGCTGTGTCTATACTAAATGATAATCGTAAGTACCCATTCAGTGTTGCAAATAAACAATTTAATAATCATTTGTATTTTAAATCTAATATTTATTTCCATTTGCGATCTTCATCTTAGTATCCTCAAAAATTAGTAAAATTAAACTTTGAAAGTCCTTTAATAAATATTTATTTATTTCACTTTGAAATCACCACAAAATCGAGCTCCGTGAAGTTTTTCGTGCAAATTTCATTGTTGTTTTCCAGGTAAGATTTAACGGCCTTAAACCGGTACCAATATTTTAATTATTTTAAGTCTGGACAGGTCTCTTATTAGGGAAAACGAGAATATTTTAAAAATAACAAAAAAAAAGAACGATCCTTTTATTTAAGACCTGGGCTGGTTTTTATTTTGAGAGTGGTCCGATCCATGAGATACGACCGTCAATTCCAAGTTACTCTTGTGATCGATGATCAATTTTCATGATTATATTTACTTTTACATTTGTTGATAATGGTAAATCAAATCTATGGTTCATATAAACCCAATTAAAAGTATATAATTTGTTACTATTAATGAAGGCCATTTTAAAAACTTAATTAATTTCTTAATAGCAATTTTCATTTAAACACGGTCTATTAATAATTCTGAGAATAAAAAAATTCTCAACCGCTACTGATGATGGAAAAGAGAATTAAAACGAAGAAACACCTCTTATGGATACTTAAAAAATAAAGAGTATCTCGAAAATCATAAATATTGCAGAAACTACTATTTGATTTTGGCAGAATGTAGGAATACTTTAAAAGTAGTCCCTTCGGATGATTATTGAAATTGGGGAAGAACTTCAAGATTTTATTTTAAATATCAAAGCTTCATTAAGTAAATTTTGCAAATTTAGATATTCTCTTAATTTTTAATGCCCATTTCTGCCATAAGACATTCTTTAATGGATTATATTTGCATTCTTCATCCCCTTCAAACATCAACCCTCTAACCCAAAACTATTAATATTGCAAAATTTCAATAATTTTATTTCATTCCTACAGTGAGTGACTCCATTATTATCTATTTTCGGCTAATAACATTTATGTTTTAAAAAATCCAAGCAGCAAACTTAAACATTATAACAAAACCCAAATAATTTTTATATATTAGACAAAAAAATAAAGATTTTTAGATATAAATAAATATGATTCCTTTTTTGGGAACAATATACATTCTTTTAAATTTATGCTTTTTAAGTGTTATTTTAAACGGTTCATAGGAAAAGTTCCACTGAAAGAGCACTTTGTATTTGAATGTATTGGTAATAAAATATTTATTATTGAGATAAAATTAATTATTCATACTTTCCTTAAAACAAAAATTTATTTACTTACTCGTTTTCAGTATCATTAACTCGATTTTATTGTTGACATAATTATAAAATAAATGTATACATTTTTTTTAATATTTAAAAATTATAGTTATAAATAATGATCTCCCAAAAATATAATAGGTGATACATTATATTTGTGTCAGAAAATATAATAATTATTTAGAATGCAGCTTTTCTATGTTGTCATGACCAAGGGTTATTAAATCATTTCATTATTTGAGGTTATCTATCAAAACTCTTAAATCAGTTGTTGTATGTAGTAATGCCATCCATTTGAGCCGATTTCTAAAAACGGCTAACTCAATATTATGCAAGCCTAAAGAGTTGGCTATAAATGACACATAGTTTGGATATATATATACTAACGGCAAAATATAGAAAATTGGCTGAAATGGAGTGCATCACTAGTGGTATGTTACTAAAGTGATTGAAAACATGATTAAACAGAACAGATTTATTACATTTATTAATATAAATCTATTATAAACTATTTATTACAAAAATTATGTAAACTATTAATAATAGGCAAGAACCACTGAAATAAAAATATTTATACAATAAAATAAGCTAATTATTTAATATTGAGGAAAATTAACATTAGGATTTGGATAGTATACAGTTTCACACATTTGACTCATATCAGTGGGAGTCATTCCCATATTCATAAAATTATTAGGAGTACTAGAATTCTGAAATGATTGATTAAATCCTAAATAAAGCATAAAAATAAATATATACACGAAAAATAAATTTATAACTACCTGGCATGGGATCATTCATCCCAGAGTTTTGAGAATTCATGAAACCTTGTTGAGAATTGAAAGATTGATTTGGGGATTGGAACTGATTACGATTATCTAAAGACCTTTTCTTGTAAAAGTTTTCAGAAGATCCATTATTATCAATATCATTATTATCTCTCTTGTAACGTTTGTTCATTCTATAATCATTCGCATTATTTTTCATCTTGAATGATTGTTTATCATTCAAATGTTTATAACTAGTAACTAAGCCCGCATCTCTGCCATTGTTACGCGAGTTTTGCTCATTTGGGCCCTCGTAAAAAAGTTCAATATAACGGTGTCCTGTTATTTAAATGTATGATTTATTTATTTTAAACAAAAGCCCATACTAATTTCTCAAATATTTTAAACTTGAGTATTTTTTCTAAAATAATTAATAACAAAACAAAATGATGATAAATATATTCAGTATTAAAAATTGTCAGAACCACATTTAATATAAAATACAAGTAATTTAATTTTTCACAAGAAAAAAAAACCTATATTTTTTTTATTTTTTTCTTCCAAAGCTTGCATGGCCATTTTGTAATTAGGGAATTCCGCAAATGCTTCCCCAGTTGCTCTTCCATTTTTATCGGCTTCTATCATAACTTTCACTGGCACATAAGGATCGAAAAACTATTGTTGTAAAAACAGAAATAAGTATCATTATTTTTCGTTAAAGTTAAAATCAAATTTGTAAATTTTAAGTAATAAACTCAGGAGCCTTGTAAAGGACCGTTGGCATGATCCATTCAAAATCTTATAGAAGTCCATTCCTGTTCTATAAACTTTATACAGTTAAGGTTAAAAACGCCAATTTCATTTTTAAACAAGAAACTTGCTTTCATTTCAATTAAAAAAGATTGCTTTTAAGCTAATTGTTTTTTACAAATAAATTTTACATAAGATTGTAAGACCGTGTCCTGGATCGAGTTGATTTAATTGCTTTCGCCTTATTAGGACACCCTATTTTGGTTTTTTTAGTTATTTAGTCAATATTAAATAGTTGGCCATTTAGTAATAAGTCGACTTAAGGCACGTTTTTAATATTTTTCGCAATCATGATTATTTTTTTTGCCAATAACAAATACAAAATTATTCAAAAATGAAATATAGTTTAAAAAAATATTAAAAGATTTTGCATAGTCTCCATCATTCCCACAAAAATATTTTTTAATTTTAAGCCATAAATATTTCTTTAATTTTAAAGCTGGTCAATTTATTTTTTTTGTATTTATTCTTCATAATAAAGTTAATTTCGAAACAAATTTTAATGTTTTTTTTATTTAAAAGTTAAATGTTTGGTATCAGTCCAATATTGTGCTTTTTCTCATCTAAATTTTTTTTATAAATCACTGCTTAGACCAATTTTTTTTTTAATTTATGGGTGTATTGCTTAATACCAACCGAAACTGTAAGTACACGTGTTTTTAGCAATAAGTCAGGAATAAATGCTCTAATAGTTTATAAAGCCAATATCATGTATTATAGATCCTAATTTATGATGGAACATATAACTCCATAGAGCAGTAAATATGAAATCCATTTCTAAGTAGATTATTACAAGACAACTTTGGGAATATTCTCAATTGATAAAAAACTAATAAAAAGGGAAGATGTTATAGTTGTCCATGGGTGAAGTAACAACATTTATTTGCATTAATTATTCAAAATGTATTTTGAAAAGATCACATGAATATATCTTGTTGCGAATGTTATAACATAAATATATTTAATGTTTTTTGAGAAATTTTACGAAAATATGAAAAATTTTAGATCTCAAATTTTAATATGTTCTGAGATATATCTAATCAAAATTTGGGGTAAAATAGACCCATTTGTAGTTAAGGGTTAATATCCATGAAGATCTCCTCGATAATATATACGGCATTTTAACTTGAATGGCCCTGGATAAAGTTTACTCAGAATGTAAAAATAGGCTATCATATTTAAAGAAATATTGATAGAAAACCAAGAAATGTAAAAGATCGGACCATCTTTTTATGATAAAGAATCAGTAGAAAATTCAAAATCATTTAAAAAAGGATATAACAAATATTTCCAATAAATTTCCAGAAATAAGGCACTTATTCACAGAATAAAATGTAACAATACCATATTCAGTTCCATTGGAAAGCATAGCGTAAAAAACTCAGTTTTCATTATAATACATTCTTGCTAAGCAGATGATAATTTTTCATTTTATTGACAATTATATTGATATTAAATCTTATTTTATTGTTTAACATAAGGCTAACAAGGTGTAATTATATTGTGCTTTAATTTAAATCGTTTTTTTGAAAACTTTTACATTGTATGATAGAGTTAAGCTATGCTATAATTAAATAAGACTAGGCTAGTTTAAAAAAAAATTTGTTCATTTTTTATTTGTATAAAATTAATTACTCACTTTTTGATTTTATAAATCCTATAATTTAACGTTTCTCTTTTGTTATAAATAGCTTGTCCATAATTTATGTATAAAAAAATATGAATAACTTTATGGATATCCTCTTCGTCTGTTACAAATGGAAGACCTCTTAACTTAATCCAAAAACGATTTTTAGATCCCATATTATAGCCGCCACCTCCCATGCCGCCGCCGCCCATACCACCTCCCATATTACCGCCGCCGCCCATGCCACCACCGCCCATCCCACCACCTCCCATCATGCTCATCATGTTATTCATAAGTGAAAAACACTGCATGTTATTCATATTTTGCATGTTATCAAACCCTATTTATTATTTATAATTAATAATATAAAAGTTAATTAAATAATACTTGGCATGAACATATTATTAACCATGCATATCATATATTTTTTCTCGTCTGCTGACATCGATGAAGAAGAAATCACTATTATTTCCAAATATGTTTAAAGAAAATTGATTAAATATTATACTTCTTATCAATTTATTTTGATTCACAGAAAAATCATTATCATGATCTTCTCTATCACCTGAACTTCTCATTGGTTTGATAGACATAAGTGGCTTAATTTTAGTTGAGGCTGCACTCATGAAATAATCCAACTCCTTTAAACTACTACCAAATACCTCTATATATCTAAAAAAAATTATTACAAACATGAATAATAATAGTTTTATTATCAAAATTTCTATTAGACATCTTAATAATTTATAATAATATATCAATATTATAAAGGTTATAAAGGTTATGCAAAATTCATGGCTTCAGAATTGAATTTGGGTCTAAGAAATTTAAACTATTTAACGAATATTTATATTAGCTTAATCAGAACCAATTAAAGGGATCTGAACCTGCATAAGTTCAGAAATACAACAGGTTCAATGGTGGTCCCTCTTTGGTCTCTCTCAAAATGTCCAAACAAAGAATTTTAAATTTCTTGCTAAAAAATATTGTACCAGAAAGTAAGTTAATAATTTAAAATTATTTAATTATTATAATATGAAAAACTGAATTACTCTGTTTGGATTTATGATAATAATATACATATACTGCTAAGTCATTATTGATTTTGTGAAAATGATGAAGATATATAGAACCTTCCATTATTGAATGATCAAGAATTAAGTTTGTATTATGATATTTTGTAGTAATTTATGTAAATAAAAATCGTTTTATATTTTATTAACATTGTAAAATAGTTTAGTTTGTGCAGATGAGCTTTTTAAATATAAAACAAGTTTGAAATTTGGCCAGATAAAAAGTTCTGGATAGTAGAAAAGTATTACAAATCTTTTGAAGATATTTAAATAAATAGTGATAAATTTTTTATGCACAAGTAAGAAAGTGGAAATTTTTAAACAACTTTATTTGAACCAGAAAAAAACTATTCCCAGAAGTTTTGCAATACTGTTACTACCCAAAACATTTTACACAATTCAAAATTAAATTGTTTAAGTCTTGTAGTCAATAAGATAGTATTCCTAAACCCAAAATTTTTTACAGTTGAAAAACTAGTTATTTAAAATTCACACATGGAGTAAAAATAGCACTATCAATTTTATATAATTAGAACTTTTTAACTAGTCAAATATCCTTTTTGTAATGTTTTACATTTTAGAAAAGCTTTAGCAACAACTTGCTTTAAAAATTTTATTGCAAAATTAAATATAAAACTATTTTATGTTATTTTTTGGTTATAACTAAAAAATATGATATAAATTTTTAAAATAATAAATTAGGACTATTCATTTAACAAAATATTTTTATAAAATACAATAATTTTCATTGTTATAGGTATTAATAAAACAAGCTCAATTCTTAATCATTCAAAAATGGAAGGCTTTTTGTGTGAGCAGCCTGTGTATAACTCCACTTGCATTTAATTTTATCAAATAAAATTCTCAAAAAAATTTGAGTAAAATTTTTTTTAGGCCATTATTTGAAATAGTAATATAAATAAACTCACAAATTTTTACTTATATATCTATAAGTTTTTCTTATATTTGAATCTAACTTTAAAATCGTTTTATAAAGTTTAGCAAGTGAAGCACTTCAATTATATACCAACGTTTTGTAGTTGACCCTACGAATCATCAAAGAAATAAACAGAGTAGGGACTTATTTATTTTATTTTTTATCTTTTAAAATTAAAGATTTAGAAATACTTGCAAGGAACAATATTTTTTGTATATGTTTACATATAATATAAAGTGTGAACCCACCTAAATCAATGATATCTTAACATTAAAAAATATATAAATGTTTTAGTAATAGGCAGTGTAAAGAATAATAATCAGGTAATTATAACAAGCTAAATCTAAGTATCATTGTTAAATGACTCAATTTTTAAAAAGGTTAACCCAATATTTTAGCCTAAAAATATTACACAAGCCTGGGGATCTCACTCATAGATGGTAGAAAGGTTTGGAATCTATTAAAAAAATCTTTTTGTGTAATATTATTTTGGCTAAGATCTTGATTTAAAATTGGCTAAAGAGAGCCATTTAATAAAACTAAATTTAGAATAAAATAGACAAGCAAGTAAAATGAGTCTTTAAATTGTTTCAAGTTTACTTTAGTGTAGTACAGTTAAAATATTAAAATGTGAATCAATTTAAATGCAACATTCTCAAATGTAAAAAATATCCCATTTAGATAAAAGGTTAAATATTGTTACGTGATAACTATTGGATAAAATATAAAGGTTTTAAAGTTGTTTTATATTTATCAGAGACCTGCAGGCACAGTCTGTATTTTAATTTTCTTAAATACCTAGGCCAGGCCGAATATTATAAATCACCATTATTATCTAAAAAAAATATTTTTAAAAATATCCAGGGCAGGCCAAAATATTTTTTTAATCAGGCTACATGATACCTCTGCAGGTTTCTGATATATGTTAAAATAAATAGTTTTATATTACATGATATCCTATTTTTGGTATAAAAATATTGGTCATGTATTTGAATTTTTTTATCAAAGCTTAATTAAAGGTAAATAATTTTTTATTCATGACTTATCTCATACTTAATGATAACATATTTTTAAGAATGTTTAGATGATCAATTATTAAATTCCTGTTCACTTTTATAAGTTTCTAATCCTATTAAAGAGATATAAAAATTACCTATAAATTTTAATCAATAATCAATTAGTAGCATTTTTTAAAAAATATGTATGTATATAATATAATATTTCATTAAATTTATAAATATCCACCAAATAATTAACATATAAATTAACCCAATGGGTGGAATATATGATATAAACTTAACCCAACCTGTGCCCCATCTTTTCTTTGTGCTTTTTAAGTCCCGACTCATATGAGATAGAATCTTTAAATTGTACAAAAGCTTCTGTGCATCTTCCCTCCTCATCTTTAGGGACCATTATGCCATTGGGGATGATATCAAGCCCTTAATATTTACAATATTATTTATATTACCAATCCCTTTAATATTATTATTTTTAATACCTGTGAAAAAAGTTTCTATTTCTTCAGTTGTACATTTATAAGGTAACCCTCTTAATCTAACAACAAAATCATCATGACCAGCTCTTTCTTTATAATATTCATAATCATCTGAGTTTGCTTCATCAACTAAATCAAAAATTATTTTTTACTATATTACTAAAAGAAATACCTTCAATATAACGATTGTCTATGTAACGTTTATCTTTTTTTAATGCTTCAGCAAAGTCATTACTATTTGCAAACTCAACATAGGCCTCACCACTAGGGCGCCCATCTTTAGAGTTATTAAATACGACACCTTTATATCCCTCCATAATTTTTAAGCCTAAATAAATTTATTTCGGAGATATATTAAAATATTTACCTTCAAAAAATTTTTCTATATCAACATAAGATGTTGACCAAGGTAAACCCCTTAACTTGACAATATACCTTTCTGTTCGTTCCAAATCCAATGGTATTTCTTGAGTATCGCTCATAATTAAAAATGGAGTTTACAAGTTCTAAAAAAAATCAGGACAAAAAATATAATAAATGTCAATCAATTGAATAATATTATACTACTCCATATTATATATATTCGGCCACTGACCATTTTTCATTTTCATGAATTTTAAATTAAATAAAATTTTAAAAGAAATATTTTTATTTAAAATTTATAATAGCTTAATATAAGATCAACTCATAATTTTCATCAATATTTTTAAGCTCATATTATGCTTCATAGTGCTTGTTCGTTATCAAAAAAAATAAACTTTCTAATATACAAATTATGTTTATCAATAAATTTTTTTAAATCTTCGTGTAAATCACAAAGAATATCTTAGGCCTAAAGTTAGTCATTTAACGTTAGTGTTTTTAAAAAGCCAAATGTGTTTTAAAAACTCCTAGATTTAGATTTTAGCAAAAATAACAGTGACGAAGCGTCAAGTATATTACTAGAAAAGCAATCGAAAATTTTTTTATTTTTATTTATTACCATGAAAAAATTAAAATATATAAATAAGTACGTCTTTGTTTTTGAGTAAAATGATCAAGTACTGAATTATAAAAGTTATTGCTAGATTTTCAATTTTTTAATAAATTTTTTCCAATCTAAATCAAAAATAGATTTAAAATTCAAAAATTTTATTTTACATTAAACTTATAATTTATTCATTAAAAGTTAGCGTAATATTATAAAATGATTACAAAATGATTACAAAATTCTGAATAAATTTATTTGTTTAAAATAATTTGTTTATAATTAATGGGCATCATGGCTAAGCAAGGATTTATAAATTCCTTTGCATGATAAAAATATCCTTTACAATCTTGAACTGATATCTATAAATATAAATGGGAAAAAAAATAATATTTATATCTTTTTTATATATACGTTTTAATATTATATATATTTTAGTCTTAATATTTCTACAATATATATTTATTTAAATTATAAGTTCATACATATGAGATAAAATTTGCACTTAAATATTTTTATTTTTTAGTTAAAAAAGCGTTAAATAAAAGTATATCAAATTATATCTTAAAAAAGTGTCTATAAACAGATAACTCAGAAATAGTATATAGTTTATAGATATAGATACAGATACTTTTTATGCAACTCAGATAATCATAATAAATTTTCAATAGTATAAATAGAATAGCAATTAATTATTGCTGAAAAAAATTTTTTATTTTAAAAAAGTAAGAAAAAAATATAAAATTATTTTTTGTTTGCTTCTCCAATGCTTATTTTTAAATGTAAAATTACACAATACATTGGTAGATTTTCTCTTCATTTATTAAAAAAATAAGCAATATTAAATTTGCTTTTCTCATGTCTTATATATATTTTTTTTAACGTAGTAAATTAGTAAATATTTTAACACAATAAAATAGTAATTTTTTTAACGTAGTAAAAATAATAATAATTTTTTTAACTTAGTAAAAATAATAGTAATTTTTTTATCGTATTAAAAATAATATAATTCTTCTTAACGTAGTAAAAATAATATTAATATTTTTAACGTTATAATGTATATTTTTTTTAACGAAGTGAAATTAGTTTTTAAAAGCATATTATAAAGATTATATTATTAAAAAATTTTATTGGAAAAATTTCAAGAAAAGCAATGCTTCCCATGCTTTTATGGAAGTTTTGTCACTGCAAAATAATATTATGTAATCCTGTAGATTTTATCGTATTATAAGAATCAAGAAAGAATTCTTTCATACGGTGTCTACATGACAGGATATTGAATGCAACCCCCCTACATTAATCAATACCCCAACCCCTCCCCTAAAAAATTTGCCGCCTTCGGCAGCGCTATTTTCACATTATTAATTATAATTTTTTAATTATAATAGTAGTTCCTTCATAAATTTTTAAGGAATAATTTAAATTATTAATGCTCTAATTAAAATATTGTAAACCTAAAAGAATTATTTTTTAGAACATGAATTTAATTAAAATTTTACATTTACATACAATAAATGAATTATTATAGTATTTTGTATGGCGTGAATATGAGTATACTGATTGAATCTCTAACCCTCTTAAATTACTTTTAAAAGAATAGCTAGAACTCATCCAGAAATTGTTTTATTTGGAAATTAATGTCTATGATTGTGTGCAATATACAGATTTGGTCCATTTTTAGCGATATGATTGTATTATAATAGGTCTATAATAAAAGTATTAATTTTTACAGAAATACATATTGCCTTATATCATCTAAAAATTTAATAGATAACCCTCCAATATATTTACCCTCCACCGACTCCACCCCTTTTGTCTACCCACTACCCCCCCCCCCTCAAAAAATGGATGCAAACTATTCCTACCACAACCGCTCATGTATACTCTAGCTACTAGAATTAACTTCAAAGATTCAAAAAAATTTTCCAAGCCTGGCACAAACCCTTATCCAAAATTTTAATTTATTTTATTTGATTAAATAAACAATATTTAAGTGTATTTAGGCAATCCTTTTGTTTTATTATTAGGAGAAAAAAATTGCAATATTTCTTTAAATTAGCGACTGTTTTAAATTGTTAAATTTAATATTTTTAGACCCAAGCCTAGCTTATGCCCATTAAAAAAATTTTCAAAACCCAGACCCGGCCTTGGCCCGCTAGAAAATATATTAGGCCCATATCCTGCCCATTGACCTGCATACCGTGGGCCGGCCCAGTCAATAAAAGTCTCTGATCTTGATACATTATTATATTCAATACGATAACAGATTTTATTTGGCATTGGAACATAAAATTATTTAATTATGCAACTATCTTTTCAACATATTTCAAAAAAAAAGGTTCCGTTAGAGAATAAATATCAATTAAAATTTGTGTAATTGTGATAGAGTTAAATATTTGTCAAAAACCAGGATTAAAATTGAGTTAGTAATGAAAGGCATATATGGTCTTATATAAAATGAGTATCAAATATATAGTTTTGAGCTATAAATTTTTAGAAATTGCCCGATTTATATTTTAGCCAAATTCTGTAATCCTGGAGATTTTGCTCATAGATGGTAGAAGAGTTAAGACTTATAGTAAAATCTTAATCGATTTAACTAGCTTTAAAGAATATTGATCAAAGTATTTACCCTTAACTATCGTGCTATTAATGGTAAATGATAATTTTTATTGGAGACGATTGTTTCTTGTAGGCTTTGAATAGGTGGGTCATTATTTTAAATATTGATCTTTTTTGTCTTTTTAAAATATTTTTTTTTAAAATTCCAATTATAAATTTATTATTTTTAAAGTAATAGCATTTAATTATTGAGGAGAAGAAGTTAGGAGGAATGCATATGATAATTATTTTATCCGCTTAATTCGATATTGAGAAAATTTGCAAATTTACTAGAGGGAACTAATTCCCCCATTCTTGGCTCCGTCTATGTATTTATATAATTTTTAAGTAATGATTGATGCCTCATGTACAAATTAAATTTTTCTTGTATTTTATAGCATCTCCTTATCATTTAAAATAAAATTCTTCTTATAATTTACTTGCGAAAAGTAAGAAAACCATTTAGTTTTAATTATACTCAGTCATATCTATATGGTAAATTATTATATGCATGTTGAACGAATTATTTCAAACTATTAGTTTTTTTAAATATTATGACCTTTTATAAAATTTTAATTGCAGTTACTATCTTGTACGATATAGGCCTGGTGTTCTTATTAACACTTTGACTTATTTTTCTCCTAATTTTAACTTTTTATTCTAAGCCCCTTAAGGACTAAAATCGTTTTAACTTTTTATTTCTAAGCCTCTTAAGGACTAAAATCGATTTTTGAAATATAAAGATATATCCTTACAATACAATGATTCAATCTGGATTTTATTAATATTAATTATTAGCTTAAAAAATCTATTCCTGGAATATTTTTTAAAAACATATGATGTAATATCAAATTCATTGAAATATTATATGAACTACATGTTCTACTAAAATTCGGCACTTATACTATTTTTTAAGTAGAAATTCAACAATGAGGCCTGTATGTCTTTTTCCTTAGGAATATAGGTTATATTTTGTAAATTTTATATGAGAATTATAATAATTAAGGACTATTTATTAATCCATTTATTATATTTTTGAGTGTATAATAATACAATACAATGTTCGGTGTATCAACAATGTTCAAAATAAAATATTACCAATACCTAAATACAATCTTTGATAAGTTATATATTTTTATTATATTGGTAATAAGTTATAATTTAATATATCATATAATTTATATTACTCATAATAAACAATTTATTAACTTGCCCGAATTATATATGACTCAATTCAAATCTTCTTTGTATGTTTTTTAGGGGCTCTTAGTAGTTTTTTTGCCTTTACCTTTGTTCTTACGTGTTGTTGTGATCGGTTTTGTCGGCTTGGTATGGGATGATGGTGCTTTACTACTTATGGTAGTGACATTTACTGCCAGTGTTGTGTTAATAGGAATAGTGGTATTTGCTGGAAATGTTGTGTTACTAATAGGCAGAGTAGTATTCGTCGGAAATGTTGTGATAGTGGCATTTGCTGAGCTAAGGGTTGTATTATATGAACTATTGTCATTTCCATCATCATTCTCATCACCATTTTCATTGTCATCATTACCATCTGTTTGGCTAAATTTTATCAGGTTGAATCCCAAAAATAATATGAAAATAAATGATGCAAATTGTTTCATCGCTAATTTTCATCAGCTTTATTTTTACGATTGAATAAATAAATTTTTAATAGTTAAATTTGTATTTTGAATTGCTATATATACTAATTTCTGATGATCGTATTACGTCAAAGGTATTTAATAGGTAAAACGAAAGATATCACAAGACCATATTTAAGCATTAGAAATTTAAAACACCAATCGTGAAATCAAATTAATCAAAAAACATATTTGATTGATATAATACATATTATATTATATACTATTTTATAGAACTTTATACAAATATTAAGAAAAATTTAATATATTTGGCAAAACATTTTCTGTCAAATTTTTAAAAACAATATACCAATGATGAAGCAAACT